TATAAGCACTTTGATAACAGTTTATCTGTTTTAAATTGTGCTCTACAAATAAAGATGACTTGACTTGACTTGATATATATATATATATATGTATATATATATATATATATACCTCTCCCTCTGTTCTTCTCCACAGTGTAACTCCTCCCCACTTGTTTACTTGCATTACCTGTTCTATTCCAGTCCAGAAAAACACTTATCTCAAAAAATCACTAGCATTTAGTATTCAACTCTTTTAGCGATGGGGGACATCGGAGTACCACTTGTTATGATTTGTTATAAGAAGAGAAAAGACATTTCCCTTTGATCTTTTTGTCATCTTTTCTCTTCAGACGAGCACATCTACGATTGTGTTTAGAGCGCTTGAAGTCCCTCGTTCCTTTGGGACCAGATGCCAACAGGCACACCACCCTCAGTCTGCTGATGAAGGCTAAAAATCATATCAAGGTGAGTAAATGTGTGAAACACTCCGTCAGTCTGAAAGGGCCAGTTTGTCGTCTCCTGTAAGTTTGTTTGGATCAGATGTTAGACTGAAGTGTGTCTGATAAGTTGTGGATATCAGCAGCTCCTCATCTTGTTTCCTCTCCTCCGGTGTGCAGAGGTTAGAGGAGAGCGAAAGGAAATCTCAGCACACCTTGGAGCAGCTACAGCGCGAGCAGAGACACCTGCAGAGGCGTCTGGAGCAGCTGGGGGTGGAGAGGACCCGTATGGACAGTACCGGCTCCACTCAGTCCTCTGATAAATCCGACTCTGATCAGGGTGAATGAACTGGAAGTTCTTGTCTTTTAAACGCTTAATGTTTCATATCATCAATGTAAATATAGTATCTGTACTAAGTTGTCTAAGGAGATCTTGATACTGTAGAGAAAGTACATTGTTAAACAGAGAAACAGAAACGTTGATCAGTGAGGCAGGAAAAATATCTTTGACAGGAAGAAAGCTCCAATCAGTTGAACATCCTTTTACAAAAGAATTCAATGCTGAAGAGAAAATATCTTGAACTAAAATTTCACTTTGATCCACTATTTTACTACAATCTCTAAGAAATCTGGTCACTTTTCACAAGAAATCTGAGTTTCATAGTATTCTGTCCTTGACTGCTCATTTTATCACCATCTCCCTGAAGTTTGTGTGAAACGACGTTAAAAATGCACCTATTTTATAAAACTACTGTATTCATATTGTATTTTAATTATAACGCCTCATTTGTAAAAACTCGTAGACCTAACTGTGTGATATTACGGTAATGATGTGGCTACAACAGGAAGATTATAAATCTGAAGGGAAGGTTTTATAAAACAGATTTTTTTTTCACCACCAAATTAATAATAATTATTAATTAAGAATAATCAGTTGTGACCGCAGACCAAATACAGGCTAGTTAAAAGTAACACAAGCAGCAAAAAGCAGCCTAAGAAAACAAACGCTGAGCAAACATTAAAGCACGTTTCAAAAAGAAGTGTTTTTGAGATTTACCAGTAAATGTCTTTCTGTGGGCAAAATATGTCTTAGTGTAAAAGTTACAAAACCCAAAAGTCTCCTCACCATCTCTTGAGTGAGCTGTTTTAGTGCATGAATGGCTAAAGAAGTAGTTAGATTACTCCAGCCTGTGTGAGTCGTGGAGCTGCAGAGAGGACTGCTCGTCCATCCAACCGTAACGTTGCTTTCTGCTGTGTTGTGTTCGACAGAGGACCTGGACGTGGACGTTGAGGGGACAGACTACCTGCTGGGCGACCTGGAGTGGAGCACCAGCAGCGTGAGCGACTCGGGGGACGAGCGAGGCAGCCTGCGCAGCAGCTGCAGCGACGAGGGCTACTCCAGCGCCAGCCTGCAGCGCCTGCACGACACTCAGGAGAGGGCCAAGCAGCTGGGCTGCAGCCTATAAACAGCCCCATCACTCACCCAGCCCTCCCCTCAGTCCATCCCAGCCCAAGATTGTTCCACCACTCCTCCCAGCTCAGACCTCACCTCCCCCTCTCCTCCCTCCCTGTAAAGACTGACCAAGTTAAGAGGCCTCCCCTCCAGCAAGGTGGGCTTTCTGTCCACAGACTGCAACACCTCTGAGACGCCCGCCCACATCAGCCCTCGACCAACGCTCAGTCTTACGGGTGTCACGTCCCCCGCTCTGCTACGCGCCAATCAAGCGAGTGGGATTTTAAAGACACTCCATCCCCCCCCCCCCCCCCCTCCCGCACCCCCCCCCCCCCCCACACCCCCCCCCCCCACACCACCCCCCACACCCCACACCACCGACCACCC